CAGTGTTGCATATACAGTTCATATCCTGCCCAGTGTTGTATATAGAGTTCATATCCTGTTCAGTGTTGTGTATACAGTTCATATCCTGCCCAGTGTTGTATATAGAGTTCATATTCTGTCCAGTGTTGTATATACAGAGTTCATATCCTGTTCAGTGTTGTATATACAGAGTTCATATCCTGCCCAGTGTTGTATATAGAGTTCATATCTTGTTCAGTGTTGTATATAGAGTTCATATCCTGTTCAGTGTTGTATATACAGAGTTCATATCCTGCCCAGTGTTGTATATACAGTTCATATCCTGCCCAGTGTTGTATATACAGTGTTCATATCCTGTTCAGTGTTGCATATACAGTTCATATCCTGCCCAGTGTTGTATATATAGAGTTCATATCCTGTCCAGTGTTGTATATATAGAGTTCATATCCTGCCCAGTGTTGTATATATACAGTTCATATCCTGCCCAGTGTTGTATATACAGTGTTCATATCCTGTTCAGTGTTGCATATACAGTTCATATCCTGCCCAGTGTTGTATATATACAGTTCATATCCTGCCCAGTGTTGTATATACAGTGTTCATATCCTGTTCAGTGTTGCATATACAGTTCATATCCTGCCCAGTGTTGTATATATAGAGTTCATATCCTGTCCAGTGTTGTATATAGAGTTCATATCCTGTCCAGTGTTGTATATAGAGTTCATATCTTGTTCAGTGTTGTATATAGAGTTCATATCCCGTTCAGTGTTGTATATATAGAGTTCATATCCTGTCCAGTGTTGTATATAGAGTTCATATCCTGTTCAGTGTTGTATATATAGAGTTCATATCCTGTCCAGTGTTGTATATAGAGTTCATATCCTGTCCAGTGTTGTATATAGAGTTCATATCATGTCCAGTGTTGTATATAGAGTTCATATCCTGTCCAGTGTTGTATATAGAGTTCATATCCTGTTCAGTGTTGTATATAGAGTTCATATCCTGTCCAGTGTTGTATATAGAGTTCATATCCTGCCCAGTGTTGTATATAGAGTTCATATCTTGTTCAGTGTTGTATATAGAGTTCATATCCCGTTCAGTGTTGTATATATAGAGTTCATATCCTGTCCAGTGTTGTATATAGAGTTCATATCCTGTCCAGTGTTGTATATAGAGTTCATATCTTGTTCAGTGTTGTATATAGAGTTCATATCTTGTTCAGTGTTGTATATATAGAGTTCATATCCTGTCCAGTGTTGTATATAGAGTTCATATCCTGTCCAGTGTTGTATATAGAGTTCATATCCTGTTCAGTGTTGTATATATAGAGTTCACATCCTGTCCAGTGTTGTATATAGAGTTCATATCCTGTCCAGTGTGTATATAGAGTTCACATCCTGTCCA